TTTTTTTTTAAGGAGGGAGTTTCAATTATATTTAATGGTTTTCAAACTTTAAATATTATTTCAACTTCTGTGGGCCCCATTCATCAACTTACAAAACGGCCAGCCCATATTTAAATTAGGCCGGTTTCTAAAAATTTTCTAAAATATTAGTGCTTGCATAGATGTAGATGATATATTGGCAAAAGATTGATACTTAAGGCCAGGCGCAGTGGCTCAAGCCTGTAATCCCAGCACTTTGGGAGGCCGAGACGGGCGGATCACGAGGTCAGGAGATCAAGACTATCCTGGCTAACACAGTGAAACCCCGTCTCTACTAAAAATACAAAAAACTAGCTGGGCCAGGTGGCTGGCGCCTGTAGTCCCAGCTACGCGGGAGGCTGAGGCAGGAGAATGGCGTGAACCCGGGAGGCGGAGCTTGCAGTGAGCTGAGATCTGGCCACTGCACTCCAGCCTGGGCAACAAAGCCAGACTCCATCTCAAAAAAAAAAAAAAAAAAAAAAAAGATTGATACTTAAATTGATACTAATCCACCTAAAAATACTATAGAATATTGTGATTTTTAAAAATGTTTTAAATCTTACAGGTATATAGCCAGATTATAATTGTTCAAATATTCTGGAAGTCTTAGCTATCTAACAAAATATCCTAATTCATACTAGGCTTCAATTATATAATAATGTATTACAAACCCAGAAATCCAAAAGGACATTATGTTAGAGTTTCAGGCCAAAATCTTGTATTCCATATCTAAAGCATCATTCCAAATGTGTAAATTAATGAGGTGGTTGTATCAAACATTCAAAAGACCAGCTATTTTGTTCCTGAATTTCACTGACTCTAGTCTATGTTTTTCTGAGGTATAATTATTCAAGCATCTTTAACGATATCTTTACAACTTTTACTACTTAAAAGCTCTCTCTCTCACATATCCTACACTTTCAAGAAAAAGTGCTATATTAACATGGGTAATAATAAAGTCATAATAAAACAGTAAGAAAGCTGCAGTTGTACAAATCCAGGTTGCAAGATCCCATTTAACTTAATGATAAATATCTTATGTAAATAAATATGCTGTCTTTCATAATGACTCTGGCAGAACATAGTTTTAGACTCCTATACTCCCTTGTAAGTATAAAGTCGTAAGATTCTATATAGAAAAAATAATCACTCCAGGCCTTCCTAAATATGCTATCAAATAAATTACCACCATGTGTATTTTCTACTCACAACTACTTAGGGAATGACCCATGACTTTATTAACCGGCTAAAGGTCAGAGTCCCCTAATAAGAACTCTTCCAAAAGTGACAGAAAATTCACATCCTCTATTGGCCAAAAACATCTCCAAAACACAACATTTAAGGGGGAAAAAAACAATTTAGAAGATAATTCTTTTACATTAAAAAGGAGAAATCAGAACTAGCCCCCAAATGTTGTTTTCATACTATGGAAATGTTCTCATCTGCTCACAAGAAATACAGCAGAAGAGAAATGTAACTCATATAGTTTTCTAAGGTCACTCATGTTAACCAAAGAATTTGTCCCTATTGTCCCTTAAAATCGTCTTGACCAGAAACAATAAGAATCAAATCTTAAAGTGGTTAAATCAGGTCCTACCAACACTCCTTCCACTTGCAAATGCTGGGAAATAGTCCTTAGTACTACATTTGTGACAATTCGGTTGCCCTCATGGCAGCATGTCAAGATGTCATAAATAGTGATTTATTATTTCTCTGGGGTATCAAAAAGCTGCTGACCTAAGAGAGTTTGACAAAGGCCTTGTTTACAAAGGAAGACTTCTAAAGGAGAAAAAAAAAACAAGAAAACACTGGAGGACAGCACCACTTTTATAATTTATAAAAGTCTTCTTTTTTTATGCTCTTGCTGTAATGCATAATAATAAATGTCAAAATATTACAGTAATAGAAGAAGCATCACAATTAACTTTTAGAAAAGGATGTAATATGCTTTTATACTGGCTTGTAGAATGATTTATCTTAAACTTAATCAAAGAAAAAAATTTTAAATACTTATCTGCAAAAGTGTTACTTTCTAGTTATACCATGTCAGGAATACTTTAAACAGAATTCAAGCATTAACAATATAATACAAGCCGAGGCACTTCTTTTTTTTTTTTTTTTTTTTTTTTTTGAATTCTGAGCCTCAGGTGTCACTCAGGCTGCTTTTCAAGAAACTTGACGAGAAATGCTCAAAAACCACTTTACAAACGAACAAAAGAAAAGATCTAAGGCTGCTTTGAACATGCTCTTGTGGTGAATATTTTCTGTGAAACACCACAGTGCAGCTAGTCCTGATGCTGGGCTGTAACTGATATAAGTCATAAGAGAAAGGCTGCATTGAAGGAAGCCCTCCCTCCCCACACCCACTTCAAGGGTTCTGATACCCCACATTCCTCATTCATTTTAAATGTTCTTTACAAAAATGGCATCTCTCTGATGCCCCCAAGGTAGATGGACCTCTGATCTACTGGGTTGTTTTTATTTTATTTTTTCCCCTCAGTCTACCGCAATAAGTATCTTTTGGACCTAACAGGTGTCTCTAAATCCCCTCTTTACAACAGCAAACATTTGCATTGTAAAGAAACATTTGAGGAAAAAAAGAAAGCAAGGCCAGGAGAATAAAAGAGCAATTAGATTCCTAAAAGAAAAAGTGTGTCTCATTTTGCATAACAATGCAGCAACTAGGATTCAAATCTGCCACGCCTCTTAACACTTCACCAATGTGCTAGAGGTAGCCTGGAAGCCTAAAATGCCAATGCCGGCCAACAAGCTTCTGGTAGTGGCCCCCTAGATAGCAGATGGAGAATATTACTGAAAATATTTGAAGGTTAATATGTAAGTATACACATACATAACATTGGGTATGGCTTTTTAAATTATTATTAGGGTTCTCAATGGTTTCTGAGTCTTTGGTGGTTAGATAGAAATTTTCTGCTACTCAACACCCAAGCAACAATCTCATTATTTATGCAAGCATTCTCTCTTCAGACAAGCAAGGCACAGAACCAGGTGTAAATTTTAAGTCTTTTGAAATGGAAGTTTGAAATTTAACTCGCTATTGGTAAGGCAGAAATGTTAAAAATAACCACTCAATGCAGTAAACAAACTGTGTATCCTTAATGTCTTCCTTGTGCTCTAAGAGTACACATATAAAGTCATACATGCCTACATGACGACCAGAAAGGAGACAATGATGACACCTCTCCAAAAAATTACTAGCCCAGGTCGCTTTGCTTTTTCCAAAGCACCAACCTCCATCAGGTTAGGGAGGAGGAAAAAAAAAAAAGAGACAACCTTGCAAAACTCACCCAAAAGTTATATAAACAAAGGAGGGGAGAAGCCCAGTCTAGGCTTTACACCCATGTGCTACTAAAATTACATAACACCCGGTGCAGACATTGAATAAGGAATGGATTCTGCACAACACCCCCACTCCCTCGGCTCCCAAGCTTTCCTCATTCCCTTAAAAAATCCAAACGCCTGGCAAGAGCTAGTGGACGACTTTGAATATTTATTTTATTGCTGGAGTAAATCCTGCGAGAGTTGGAGGTACGTTTAGGCCCGAAGTTTGAATGTGCAACAGCCCCGGGGCGCAGCGACTCACACTCTCCGGACCCGGAGGAGAAAGAACTGACAAGCAACAGCAGCCAGCAAGGCCTTCTTCCCCCTCATGGTGCCTCCCGCTGGAAAGTTTTCCACGCAATCGATCCGAGGACAAGGAGCCCATTTCCCCCGCCTGCCTGACTTTGCAGGAAAGGCGAGCCGGGAGACCGGAGGGGGCTGGCAGGGAAAAAACTGGAAAGCTCCGCACACAGCCGGCGGCAGGGCTGCGCAGGCTCCTTACCTGGAGAACGCGGAACAAAAAGGGACGCGGGGTTCGCGGAGCTTGAGGTGGCGGCGCGGCCGGCGGACAGGAACCGGTCTCCGAGCCGCAGCTCTAGGCCCGCGCCACAGCCCGCGGCCCGGCCCCCGCCGCCGCCGCTTCCTCCCTCGCGCGCGTCATGTCACGGCAATCAAACATGTCTGTGTGCTGTGTGCGCTTCGTTGCTGTGACTTCCTGATTCTCTGCCGCTCGCGCGCGCACACACACACATTCACAACCACACGCACACGCCACCCCCACCAGCCCTCGCCACCAAACCTCGCCTTGTCCTTCCCGGGCTCCAGGGGAGGGTGCGGGCAGGAGCAGCTGCCCAAGCCGCTGCTCCCGACGCACTGGCTCCTGCGCGCACAACACACACTCACACTCGCACTCACACTCACGAGCAGACACACTCGCGCCGGCCGGGAGGGCGCGGAGGCTCGAGCCGCGGGAGCTCGCCGCCCCCTCCCACCCCTCCACCCTACTTAGCCGCCCTGCCAAACTTTTTTTTTCCTGCCTGATCCACGTCCAACTTCCCTCCACCCCACCCCCCAAGCAGCCCAGCCAGCCCCGCGCTCACCACCATCCGCAGCAAACGGCAACCCGGATAAAAATAATAATGCAATCCAGGCGGCGGAGGCGGAGGCGAGCGATCAGACACTGGCAGGAGGCGATTTCCCCGCGTGTACCGGAAACCGGCCCAAGTGCCCCGGCCAAGGCGCGGGTGTCCCCTGGAGCCCGCACTGCCGCGCCCCGCCCTGCGCGGTGTAACTGCGCCCAGGCTGCGAGGCCTGGTGCGGGGCACTGAGAGCACTGTGCTCCGTGTGAGCCCTGCGACCGGAGGGCGCCGAGGGGCTGGCGCGCCGGACCGGTTATTTAGGGAAGTGCATCGCGACACCTTTGCAGATGGCATGGCCGTGTTTTGCAACGCAAACGGGAGGAGGGAGGACGGCCGGGTGGAGGGGGAGAGCAAAGGAAGGGGTAAACCAGATTGGGATGGGAATAAAGCAAACTCCTGAGCAGGGAGCGAGAAGGAAGGAGTGCGTGTCATCGTTAAGAGGAGGCTCCTACTCGGTCTCCCCGCCTCCCGCCCTCGCCACCCCCCTATTCCCTCCCCACTGCAGCCCTTCCCCTTCCCGGGCGAATGACACCGCCGCTGCCCGATGGTGCGCGGGTCCTGTTTGTGACAGTCAGGCAGAGAAGATTATCCGGATCATGGCCTCCCTGGCCCGCAGCCGCCGTGGCTCTCCCGGGTCCCGGCGCGCCCCTAGCACCCGGACGATCGCAGGCGCCCCACGCCCGCAGCTCCCGCGGCGCTAGCAAGGGGAAGACGCGAAGCAAAAGAACACAGACCCAGGGAGAGGAAGGGCAGGGTAACGGAGCCTGGCGAGCACCTCCGTGCCCGACCTCCTTGGGGGCATCCTCCCTCCCCTCCAGCAGTGCGGCCCGGGCCGGACATCCCGAACTTCAACACCCGAGCCTGCGCTGCCGCCAGGTACCGGGGCAGGGACGTCCGCAGCGCCCGGGGCGCAGCCCCCTGTCAGCCCCTTTGCCTAAAGGCCTGCCTACCAATCAGCGTCCCCATCCACGCCGGAGGAAACGCGGAAAGTGGAGGTGACACCTCCGATCAGGCACGCACCGGCCCCGCGGCAGTGGCCGCCGCCTCCTCTGCGCGTCAGCTCGGGCTTCTCCCGCTGCGATCCGCTCACGTCTCCGCAGCCGGAGCCCTTTAAACAAGTCCCTGGGAAGCGGGTGGCAGCAGTGTTCGCTGGCGCCCCGCCGCCAGCCTGGGCTCCTCGCCCTCCTTTCCCGTTCCCCTTCCAACTCTTCCGGGGAGGGTACCTCGGGATGAAAAGAAGCGTTTCCATCCTCCTCCCCTGTACCCCAGGCCTTCCCCCTCCAGCTGCCACCCCCCTCCCCCCGCCTCGCTTTTAAGGGGATGGGGGGTATTGCAACCTGGCCGAATGTGTGTGTTGCAACCTTGAGTTGGCAGCGCATCTGACTGCCTACTCAGGATCAAGGCTGTGGTTTGTTGGGATTTTTTTCCTCCTTTGCCCCCTTGAAGTAGTAATTATTACTGTTATTATTAGAACAGCAAGGTTCGGTTGAAACTTTCTCGTTTCTTCCACGGCCGCCTGGGAGCTGTCGTTACAGCATTCCACCTGAGGCCCGCGGGGAGGAGGCGGGCTTTTTTTGTTGTGGCGGTTGGCCCGCCTGTTTGTTTTGGTCTCCTTGCATGCACAATAAATAATAATTAGGATAATAATGAATAATCCCGGGCGAAGGCGGCGCGGTGCTGGAGGGGTTTGCGCGGCGGCTGCAGCGGGGCGGCCGAAGGGAGGGGAAAGAGGAGAAAAGAGTTGTAAGTTATATTTACCTTGCTCGCGAGGAGTGTGCTGGCTGAATCTCTTCCCTCTCTGAGTCACCCAGAGTACAGAAACAGAGGGAGAGAAGACTAGATTATGAATATGACTTCATTGATGACAGCCGTCCCCTCCTCTTCCTAAACTCGGGCTCCGCCCAGCGTCCCACCCTCGCCTCCTCCGCGGGCGCCGGAAGACGCGCCGCAGTTGGCCCCGCGCGCCGCTCCTCCCTGCCCGCCCGGGCGCGGGTTGGCGGGACGCGCCTGTCACTCGCCCAGCTCAGCGACTCCGGGAGCGCGGGGGGAGGAGGGGGCGGTGTGCAAGAATGTGGATCGAGACAGCTTTACTGTATGCGTGGATCCGTGTGTGCCTGCAAGGCGCCGGCTCTCGGGCGGTGTTTGTGCCTGGAGCAGAGAAACTGCGCAGGATGCAGAAAGCCCCCAGCCCTGCTGGAGTTGGGCGCCCGCTATCCCTTCCCTGGGAGTCCTCTTCTGCGGGCGCTGCGGGGCTCCTCCAGGGAGACTGGGGAAGGGGAGGAGGCGAAGCAAAAAGGGAGGGCAGCCGTAGTAATAGCGCGTAGTAGTTTGGGGGTATGTGGAGAAGGTGCTGGAATTTAACTGTGCCTCCGCCTGCCAGTGCGAGCCTGCAGAGAGAAAGGGAGGGGATGGGGGGGGAGGGCTCCGAGTGGCACCAAAGCTGTTTGTGGCAGTGTTGACTGTGGAAAAAACGGGCATTGTCGTGCCGGCTGAAACTTTTTCTCCCCCTTCCCCAAGGCTGTCATTATAAATCTGCCCCCTATTCCCCGTAAAAAAAAAAAAAGGAGGCGGGCACAAAGAACATTCCTGCCAAATCTGTCTCTTCCCTGAAGGACTGCAAGCTTCCAAATGCCAACGAGGGAGAAACAGCTGAGAGGCTGAACGCCTTATAAATCAGTAAACCCACCCTAACCTCTCTGTTTACCTCGTGGACTAGACACAGCACTATAACCTTGCCTCACCTGCCATCTTCGCTAAAATATTTACAAAATTACGGAAAAACAATCCCTGGGGGCGGGGCTGGCGGGTTAGGGGGTGGCTGAAGCATGGAATCTGGTTTTGATTTAAAAAGAGGAATAAATCTCTTATTCTCTGCAGACCGTAGTCTCTTCCCTCTTACCCCGCATTTAAGACCAATTAAGGCTACAAATTGTAATCTGCTGGCAAGTCGCGGTTTTGAGACCTCTTTGCTCCAATTTTCCTTGAAATACAGTACTTTGGCCGGACCAGTAGGTCAGTGTTTGGTGAGACAATTTTATTTTTAGTTTTATGAAGTGTGAAAGAATGTTAGGAGATTTTAAATCAGGGCCCTATTATTTTAGACTCAGATTAATGTAGGTGCTTGACTCTTAAAATTAAAACTGTTCCTATGCAGTAGTGTTATGAAAAGTATGATTTATCCCTTATTTCGTAATGTAATGGCTTAAATTAGTCATTCAAAGTGCACTGTGACTATCTGGTTGAGGATTTTTCCCCCTAGAGTAAAATCCTATTTTAAGACCATTTTACTGTTGCAAAATTGACTCCATTTGAGCAACTGGGTCTGAAATGCAGTTCCAGGATGCTTAAAACTTCAAGCTGGATAAGTTGAAGACAAGAAGTAATGGAAAGAACGCCAAATGCTGCCATGTAGTAATTAAGAAGCAAGAATTGTTTATATCACTAGTCCACTGCTGGCTGAAGGAGAGCCCACCAGGGCACCATTTTCGTGATGGCTAGGAGTGTTGGTGATCACCCACCCCATAGCTTTCTAAGGTCTTATTACTTGCTTGTTAACTTTAGCTTCATCATTTTCTGTCTATCTTGAAGTGAACCTCAAGACAACAATAGATAATACGGCTAAGAGAAATAGAATATAGTGCGCCCTGAAGGATCCATTGTAAGAACTTGCTTTTCTGCCTAAGGATATGCTGGTGTAACTATTAAATGAGAAATATATAGTGAGAAATTTTAAGCAAGATTAGTAGTGTAGTAAAAGTGTAACATAAATACTAACTTCTAACTGCCTAATAAGTCGCAACTAATAATATAGCCGGATGACCTAGCTGTCTCTAATAAAGAGATTTAACCTAATAGCAATGCTTATTACATTGAGAGTATTAGGTTTTAATTTTTTAGGGTCTTAATTTGTTTCCCTGGCATGCCAACCTCACATGCCAATTTTCAGAAATTGATAACTTCACTTTCATTCCCTTGTGAATAAATGCCCTTTATCCCCTTAAGATTCTACCTCCACTTGCCATGCAAATCCTCAAAAAACAAAAACAAAACCCAATCAATTAGTAAGTCCCTGGAGAAAGAAACTGTCCATTCCTTCTGGCATTTTGTCAGAGGGAAAGTAAAGAAGAAAACATTCCCTTTGTTATATGTGTATATTCTTCAGCTCATACAAAACTTTGATGTTGTCCTTGGAGGCGTTGGTGTCCATGTATTGTATATGCACAGCTATGGGAATTGAAAATAAAATATATCATTGGGAACAGAGATTAAATATAGATATTGCATCTCCCTCTCCCTTCACATTGGTCTAAGAAAGCACCACCTTCCCCCATCACCCTTCAAGTCTTTCCTCTAAAAATTCATCTTGTTTATAGTTTGTACCCCAGCAGTTAGGAATTTTATAAAATAAGGCCTAAACTCAGGAGAAATGAAAAGGCAGCATCATTCACTTGGTACAAAAAGAAGATTGTAGAACATATAGCATGAGTTTCACCTCTGAGGTAAAACGAAATTTAACAATTGAAGATAAGGAGGAAAATGATGGGGTTTTTTGTTTTGTTTTGCAGAAAATCATACAAAAGCAAATGTGGTTGGAGGGTAAAAGGACTCCAGGAGGCTGCACAGAGTGCTACATTCACACGAAGCTTTTCTTTTTGGACTTTGATGAGTCATAATGTGTTCTCTGAACTTGCTTTTCTCTTTCTAGTTTGGTATCAAAAGATAGAAGTCACTTTTTCATGTCTGTATGGCCACGTTCACTTGTTATGTAAGTCTGCTTTGGTTGGCATTCTGTATAGAGGAGATATTGGATTTCAAACTTGATATCTGGATACAACACCCTCATAAAGAATAATTCCATGCACAACATTAGGAAGCTTCTAGTCCCAACAGACAAACTGCTAATGCTGCCTGAAATGTTGCCTAGCTTCAAACATAAGCAGGTAAGACCATTTAGGCAGTGAGTATTTCATCTTCAGTAATGGAAACCAAGCTTTGACAAATTGAATCAGCGGACATTTAATTTAAAGAATAGTTTAGAATTAGCAAGTAAATTTATTACAGAAATCAACACTCCTCTCTCTCCATTTTTCTTTTTTTTCTTTTTGAGTCAGAGTCTCGCTCTGTTGCCCAGGCTGGAGTGCAGTGGCGGGATCTTGGCTCACTGCAACCTCCGCCTCTCAGGTTCAAGGGAATCTCGAACCTCAGCTTCCCAATTAGCTAGGATTACAGGTGCCCACCACCACACCCAGCTAATTTTTGTAATTTTTGTAGAGATAGGGTTTCACCATGTTGGCCAGGCTGATCTGGAACTCCTGACCTCAAGTGATCTATCTGCCTCTGCCTCCCAAAGTGCTAGGATTACAGGTGTGAGCCACCACACCCCGCTATCTCTTTTTTTCTAATGGGCATGTTCAATAAATTATGTTTTTCACAATCATTCCCCTAAGATACCACCCCCCATTCTCTTTATGATTATATCGTTCTTTAGCTTAAAATCCTTTGTCTGTTCCCAATCCATTTTACGATAAGTTTCAAACTCCTTCGCATGTTATCCTAGGCTGTGCATGGACAGGTCTCTACCAGCGTTGTAGACCCTGCTGCCAAAATGCTTGGGCTCAGGGAAAACCTGTCTACCGTTTGGTTCCTAAGTGACCACGTTGGACATTTTCCCCTCTGACTAAAGTGCAGGTCCTCAACCCACATCCTCAAGACTCAACTGTGACCCAGAATCCTTCTAGTGGTCTTCCCTGTTCTCCCCAGGCAGAGGAAGCTGCTTGTCCTACTCTGCTCCCATAGCAACCAGTGTGCACCTCCATTATAGCACTTATCACTTGGATGCAATTATTCGTTTGGTGTTGTCCTCTAGATGGTTAGTGCCTGAAGGGTGTTTCGATTCATCTTTGAAACCTCAGCAATTAGCCTGATACCTAGCACATTGTATTTAAAAAAAAAAAAAAAAAACAAAACTTTGTTGAAGGAAAGGATGAGAGATAGATAATAAAATTACCTGACATAGAAAATTTAGCAGGTCTTCACTATTAGTAATTATCATGTTAATGAACAACATCAATAAGTGTTCCGAATCTTTACATTCTCTGCCAAGGCTTGAAAAGGCTTGGAAAATGTTTTTGGTTTTTGTTTTATTTTGTTTTGGGGAGGGCGGATGCGGGAAGATGAGGAGAAGCTACAGCTCTTGTAGTTATAGAAAGAGCACTGACAAGTGGTTTTGTTTGTTTGTTTTTAAATTAGGATAGGAGTAACATGATAGGAGCATACATGGCAATTGTTTAATACAGTAATAATAATTATAATTGCAGCTCCTTTTCATTTCTGTTTTAAATTACATGCCTGAAGTTGTGCAGAGACTTGTACATATGTTGTTTAATCCATTTAACCCTATGAGATCTATGACTTCATCTCCATTTTACAGGTGAGGAAACTGAGAATCAGGAAGTAATTTGCCTAAGGCAGCGATCTCCAAAGTGGAGTGACCAAGACAATTCATTGTGATATAGGAAGAGCAGAAGAAATTGTTTCTTTTTTTCTTTGATAATTAAAAAAAGTAATGATGCCAGGACAAAAAAAAGAGCTTTATGTGTATTTATTATACTCATTGACCCTTGACCCTAGAGTCTTTACATGGTCCCTAAGTAAACTGGTCATGTGTCATGTAGTGCAGCTGAAGAGTACTGAAAAACAAAAAGCGCCACAGGCAGAGGGGTGATACTGGCACCTTCTGGTTCTTTCATTGTCATTGACATCTTTTTAAGCATTGATACTGCCTCAAGTTTGCAGGTTCCACGTTAAATAAATTCATAAGATTATATCATCTAGTTTTAACCAATCAACTCTCTTATTTGGAGAGCAAGTGGCTTAAAAAACAATTCCTGTGAAGAAATAGAAGATTGAGATAATACCAGTAATATAAGCACAGGTGAAAAATCAGGATCAAATTTGCCAATTTAACCTCTAAGAACTCTTTTCCAGTCAAGTTGAGGAGTAAAACAATGACAGCCTAATTAGATCTAACAAGAAATAGGTCAAAAACATTCACAATTTTCCAGGACTATTTGAAATTTGGATTTATATTAACTTTCATGAATGATGAATTCTGATCTAAGCATGTATTTTTCCATGAGATACTATTGATTGTATGATAGCATGATTAGCAAGATAATTGAAAATTTTCTATTATATTCATCTTATTCTTTTATAATTTCTAGTTTGTGTATGTTTTTAATGTATATAATATATTAATATTGAATACATGTGTTATGAATAAATATACATAAATCATGCTCTATCTTTTTTTTTTTTTTTTTTTGCTTTTTAACTGTAAGGGGGATGTGATTAAACAGCTTGGAGATGACTAAATGATGAAATCAGAATTTTTAACTAAGCTTGGTAGAACTCAAGACTCAGAGTAATCTGTGATGCTCATGTAAAAACTGCCCCAAAATTTGTCATCAGTACAGGGTTCTTAATCCATGATGGAGGGTTGATGGGGGTGGAATACAAATGATCTTTGGGGCTTCTAAGAATTCCCTGAAACTGTGTTCAAAATTCTAGGATCATGTTAATGTACGCTTTCTGCAGACAGAGTCTCTACATTTCATCAGATTCTCAAGGGGATCTTCCCCAAAAGGGGTAAGAATCACTGACCCAGAGGTATCAGCAGCCTCAATAACCTAGGATAATTTTCTGATAAGAAATTAATCCTCTCCATAACTTTTATAAAACTAAGTGTGCACATTTTATATATCCAAACATATCTACCCTTTAAAATCCTAACTCAGTGTTTTTAGATAAACCAAATGCACTCTAACTGCCCAAAGAAGGACTCCATTTGTCTCTAGAGATGGGCTTTCTGAGGATAAGTTTATTCTAAAGCATTTTCTCAATAGTACTGCGTTATATATGGTTGACTAGACTAGAAAGATTTTTTTTGTGTTGTCATCAATATGTCTTTGAGGTTTTGACACATCTTTGGGGGCAGTTGTACATGAGGAAATCAGAACATGAATTCAGGTTCTCAAATTTTCTGTTGTAAATTGTTCAGCTATTTTCACTTTTGTTTGGCCAGCCATTGCACCTGCTACCCTTTGTTCTGTACTGTGCTTCTCTGATTGATAATGTGCTTTGGTACCAGTGTAACACTGTAGCTTACCTCTAAGCCCGTCAGCTAAATCCATGTATTCCTCTCCCATGCTGTTATATGAGATTTTATTACAGTATTTTACTTTTTGACTACCTTCAGCTGTTATTGGGCTTATCTTTTTGGTTACTATTCATTGCTTTTTGTTGGTGTGTGACCCTTTTCCAGCTTGGCTTATGTTGTGTCACTCGCCAGATTCTTACTTCAAGTTCAGTACACAAAAGCACAATTCACTATTGTCTTTTTTCAATCCTGTTTTCTACACTTGAAGTTCTATGTAAATTCAAGAGATGAGTAGAAAGTAAGCCAGGAATATATCAAAGCGGATACAACTATTGAAATTACATTAGATGACTCTTTAGAAACCCAAAATAAATATTCTGCTTTGGAGAAAAATAAAGTTAGTTTCTCCACAGGTAGGGACAAAATACATTCCACAATGGTATGACTTTATTTTAGTTTTCAATGGTGTTACCAGCCAGAAAGTGATGACTATATAAAACAAATATAAGAAGTTTCAGGAAAGAGTTGCAAGCATCTGGATTCTGCATGGGGCAAGTTTAATGCTGGGCAGGAAGCTTTTATCTCCCCTCCGGATAAACTCAACTGAACAGTCACTGACTTCAATGAGTGTTGGGCCTACAGGAAAAGCTCACATTTGATCTGGAACTGTGCATATTCAATTGCTCATCTTACCAGAGACATGGTGATACCTGTTGGAATTTTACTAGTAAGAAGACTACTTGATACCTTTCAATAGCAGACTTTCCTTAAATATGGGGGAAGACAAGGAATTCTCTGATCAGATTAAAAACATCACAATATACAACTGTTTGGTGGTTGTTTAATACTTAGGACTTAGGGTTTGAGGGTATATTTGAATCTTAAAGAGGTTGATCTCACCCTTTACCTATATTTTATTAAAATACTTTAAAAATATATCCACCTATCAGGGGTGGATTTTATGGTATGATTTATCAACTGACATTACCTGTAACCACAGTTACCTAATAGTCTGCAGTTCTCTTGGCCCATATCAATGTCAATTATGTTCCCAAGAACTTAAGACCAGAATGTTGAGCTATTATTTCTAATGCTAACATAATAAATAACTACTTACTAATTGAGGAAAATAATAGTGAAAGCATAATTTCATGTTCTAAAGAAATGACTATTCTTTTAAACAGTCTTCAAATGCTATCATCACTGGTCTTTAAGCTATTACAGACTATGTATCAGTCTTACTTAAAATGGTACCATTGAAACTTATAATAACCACTGGTTTAAAAAATACATATCAATCTCAGAACCTCTGGTTCCATGCATAAAGTAAACATAATACACTAGAACACATGTTTGAATGGATTACCCAAGATCACCCACTAAGATTAGAATGGTGGTGTCCACATTCCCAGTCAGTAGATCATCTACTATACAATAGTTACCCTTAAAAGAAGAGGAAAAATGCTCCAAGATCATGTTCTGCAACTCAGTGATAACCATCAGTGACCAAATAAAGAAATACCTCAGCACCATCCATTGCATGCTAACGTGCAAAACTGCTCGCAGTAAGAAATGTGTTATGTATCATGACCTGTTATACACATACTCAACATACTCACACAGTGAATTGTATCAGTCAGGGTCCGACCAGGAAAACAGAAGGAATTTAATTCAGGGAATTGGTTACATAGATGATGAAAGAGCTAAGAACTTAAATAAAGAATTGAGTAGCAACAGTAAGAAATCAGTTATCCCCTCTAGGCTTTGAGAAACCAAGAGATAATTAATGAAGCCCAGAGACCGGAGTAGCCTCGTGAAACCTGAAACCATGATGATTCTCGGAGTTAGAGGGATGAAGGTACAACTGTTGGTAGAGATGCAGCTAGAGGCAGAAAGAGAAGAGGAGAACACTCCGCCTTCTGCCTTCTTCCTGTGTTCCAGCTGTCCTGTCTCTTGCTTGTAAGCAT